CCGGCTCCGCAGCCGCACAGGGCGGGAACGGAAGGTCACTTGGTCATGTTCGGTTCTTCCAAATAACGCTCTGAGAGGACAGTGGGGCTTTTTTCCCCCGTGTTTCTGAAGAACGCGTAACAGTGATTCTCCACACTGTCCGAACACGACTCACGTATTTCAAGCAAGAGTGTTCAATTTTATTATTTTATTTTTTTTTCTCCTATCTGATCGGCAAAGAGAACGTGCAATGTTTAATTTCTGAAACGTTTCAATTTCCCCCCATTATTCCAATATGAAGTAAATCACGTATAGAAAAAAACCTACCTAATAAAATTTTCCAAGACGAATCGGAAAACGTGGTTAAGATCAACTGCAAGAATGAGGCTAAGGATATACGATGTTTTTAAGCTTCATACAGCCATTGAAGTGTTTTTGAGGACACCCTTTCAGTATGAAAGAGTTTGTAAGAAATGATGACAGATTACTGCAAGTGCAACCTGAAAGAAATTAGAGAAAAATGATTTATACATTGAAGCTTTTCTTAATTAGCTATTTAACTTGTGCCTTGGGGGCTTCGGGGCATTTCCTATCTATGTATGTATTGATGGTAAGTATCTAAAACTTTGTTTGGTTAAAACAAGCTCAGACTATAATAGAATAAATTACTGAGAAAGTGCGAAAATCCCAAAGCAAGGTTCTTATCGTATATTACATGCCATCTTTGTAGATTTTCATTTCAATAGATTTAAAAAAAAAATAAAAAAATCGCCTGTTTCTGTGGAGAAGAAAAAGCCTTTTTGAATCCTGTAGTACATTGCATGACATTTTCAGTGATGTGAGATGTATAAAAATAGATTAAAAAAAAAATAAATTTAATTTCGTATTAAGGACCTACAGAGGAATATTTCTTATCTTTACCACTCACTTTTTACCTAAAGACAAATAATTCCTTCAATCCTTATACAAAATGTATTTAATTATCTATTTTAATAAGTTAACATTTTGCAGTAACTCTGTGTTTTGTAACCATAACAAACTTAATCTGAAATAATTCTACTTTACAAAACCAAGAGAATCTATTGTAATCTGTGGAATCTATTGAGTCTATAAAGTGAAGCTAATTTTTTGTTTCATTTGCTGCTTGATTTGTTAGCTTACAGCTATTTAGTTTACTTCACAGTTATTTTGTATTTTCATAGAAACAGAGTTTTTACATCTGCTTCCAAGTTTTAAGGCGTGTTTGTTAACAGCTTTATGCCACATCTCTTATATGAAAATCTGTTTTGAGCTAAGGTTCCTTATCTGTGCAACTCTAGTTGAACCTGATTTCATGGATTATTAACTGCTTTATCGACACCGTAAAAAATATTCAAGTGCTAAGTACTTTTATGCAGTCTCCTTACACTGAAAGAATCAATATGGTACTTTCAGATACAATTATCAATTAAAATTCAGTGTGATTTAGTGCTTTCACTCTGTCTGTGGCTAATACTACAGATTCCGGTTCCACGATCTTGTAGAGAAAAATGCAGCTACATAGAATTTGGTTCATTGTGAAACTGTTTTATATGAACTCTTGAATCTAAAGACGCTCCCCTTTAACCAGTTATTTTTCCTCCCTCACCTCGTATACAGTGAACTATGGGATTACTAAAGTGGAAGGACAGCCTCTTCACACAGAGCTGAACAGGCCCATGGACAATTGCAACAATCTCAGGATGTCCCCCGTGAAAGGGATGCAGGAGAAGGGGGAACTGGATGAACTTGGTGACAAATGTGACAGCAATGTCTCCAGCAGTAAGAAGAGGAGACACAGAACAACTTTCACCAGTTTGCAGCTGGAGGAACTGGAGAAAGTATTCCAGAAAACTCACTACCCTGATGTCTATGTAAGAGAACAGCTAGCTCTGAGAACAGAGCTCACTGAGGCCAGAGTCCAGGTAGGAACCAAACTTCAGCATTTTCATGACAAGTTGTGCATTGTAGGAACTGGAAAATTACACTCTTGGGGATTGTACAAAAGCCCATAAAGCTAAAGCAAATAGCTTGTTTTGCTTTATTTCTTTCTGGATATGTTGCTCTAGTAGAAACTTGTTCAAAGGCAGAGAAAACAATATAAATAGTAAAGCAATTTTGATCTCTGATAGTATGGTTTTACTGCCAGAATTCCAGGCAGTAAATAGAAGTGTTACGTGTAAAGATGCCATTAAAGAGATATGTTGCAAGTAGTTCAGACTAATGATGATGCAGAGGTTGGCCACAGAGGATTCTGTATGTGCTACGCATGAAAAGGGCAACCTAAAACATGATCGGATTCCTTATTTAGATCCAAAGAGTATGCACTGAAGCAGCACATACATAGATGTGTGTGTATATATATATACACCCACACGTGTGTGTTTGTGCCTGTGTAGTACAAGGACATAATCCTTTCATATCTGTTGCACGGAATGAGTTTAAAAATAACAAAATTATACATTTGCTGGTTTTTAGAATTGCATAACAATGCGGAATGTTATTCTAATTTTTTGAATGAAACATAGTGTTGACCACTTAGTGCAGTATTTTAGAATCTTTGCGTACAAAGTTGATTCATTCAGTATGTGCTCGTACAGCAATCAGCAATATTTATGGCTTTGGATGTGCAATGGCGAGAAAAAAAGTTAAATATCCAGGATATACAGCTCTACCCTCTTTTAGGGATCATCTTCCCTTAGAAAACGGTATGAACTACATTTTGTGAGTTTATTCTATTTTTAGAGATCTTCCCCATTGTGGTAGTAGTAATCCTTTGAATTTGGGATATAGCAATCCTGTCGATTCTTACAGACTGGGATTAATCTTTTAAAATTAATGACTTGAATATGATAACAACTTCACAACTTGTAATTAAACACATACTCACACATGCGTACAAAGAAATAGACGTCAGTGCACATGCATACAACTGAAACGAAACCAGGATCACTTTCAGAAACAAACTCAGATAATTAGTTTTGTAAAGAAGTGATCTTTTCATGTCTAATCAACCAGGCAGTACATTCACCATTGTCATAAAAAACTAGAGTCCAAAACCGTGTGTCAGTGATATCGATATGATACTGGTGATGCCGATGGAATTTAATTTAGTGGCTTTTAACTCTTCAGGCTGTGTGCAATCCCTTTCCCCCTGAATTTAGTATGGTTTTCCAAGTATGACTTCCACTCATTAGGATTTAATATTGACTTTTTAAAAAAGCTTACATAAGGTTAAAATACTGTTCTTATGATTACAGAATTCCAAAATTACTAGAACTACACCAAGAATAAATTAATAGAACAGGGACCAGAGATTTCAGCTAAAATGTATCAACTGACTTTTTATAATGTGGGTTTTTTTTTCCTAAGTTTTAGAAACTTTAGAAGCTGGGAAAAGAGTTAGAAACCAGAGAGTAAATATAAAAACATAAATGTCTGCACCAGACTTTCACATTTCTATTTTACTTAGACATTATCTTATGTCTTAAAATATAATTGATCTTTGAATTTTTCATATACTAAATATGAAAGGAAATGGTGATCATTTTTATCCAGAACAGCAACAGTATTCCATCACAAGATTAAGCAATTTAAAAGGCCTTACATCATTAGAGGCAAGCATCTGGCAATTCAAGGATAACAAGCAGCAGATTTTTACATTGCTTTGTGGAGGCAAATGGTTACTTTATCTCTGCCAAGATTCAGTTTCTAGTAAAGTGATGTAAACAGAAACATTTTGGGAGTTTGTCAAAGGAAAAAAATGTGTGTTTTTTTTCTCTTTTAGTTACTATAAATTCAAGCAAATTGTTTGATTTAGTTTAGCAGAGTGATCAGCTGGATACCTTACCCACATTTCACTTCACCGCCATTTCATCAACATCCAATTTAATATTTGTCCTGCATACATGCAGAGAGAGACAACCTGAACCTAATTTATCTAAGTTGTTCTCTTTCCTGCTGCATGTCAGTGAAGTTATTGGCACCCATTTTAAGGAGATTGTGAAGGTATTTTTCAATGAAATAACCTCATGACTAAATTCCCTCAGAGTGTTCTTGATGCCTCCTGTGGAGACACGAGGATTTTTTTTTTTTCCTTTTCTTTTTTTTTCTGGGCCTCAGGCATCACAAATAATAAAAATTTACCAACAAGGTCTCTAACAATGTATAGTCAACAGTTACATGCAGGTCCTTGCTTTGATTGCTGAGTACATTTTGAGATATTGCACATACTAATTATGCGACAACTTCTTGGGAATGAAAACGAGCAACATTATTCCCTGATTGTTTAAGCAGAATCAAAGGACAGTTGAGTTATCCAAAGATCAAGGCAGAAACTTAATTATAAACCCAAAAGGTTTATTGTAAATATTCCACCATCTGGGATCAGAAAGTATCTCTCAATATGGGATTCACAGGCAGTCTCTCTCTCTCTCTCTCTCTCTCTCGATACATATATATGCACATATATATATATGTAAATTCTGTTCATGTATGTATTGATCCAAATGGATTCACGACCCATTTACCAGGAAGACTAACCAATGGCATTGTTTCCGTAAAAAAATAGTTCTATTAGTAGTGCAACTTCTTCAAAAAGAGTCAGAATGAGCTTTCCTCTTTTTTTGCTGAGCAATACTTAGTAGTATAATATTACTTTTATAAAGGAAGTTATTTTTCTTAGTAATTCCTTTAATTAATCAGGATAAGTTTTAGCCAGTAAAAACTAGATTGTATGAAAGAAAAAAAGTTTTTAGATGACCATAGGACAATGACAGATATTAGTCATGGAAAGAAATGTGCACATATAGATTTTGATATAACACCCAACACTCAAAATGTTACAGAACAGTCCAAAGGTTATTTAAGCAAAACCAAAATACCTTTTAGTTGCCAGGAAGGCATCGTTTCAGATCCAAGTTATTGCATTGCCTAAACTTAAAGTGCCATTCATTAGTTTTTCATTGTCAGAAACAGATATTACATAACACAAATGTGAAAAATATGTCACAATAATTTAAAAAGTGTCTGCTCTCATTATTTTTTATTATCTTCCTGCCCAGTTAGCCTTCCCCATAGAAACCAGCACAGACGACTGTCCTGGTGCCAGTTTTTCCTACCTTTTTATCACTGCATTTGATAATAATATGTGTACCTCTAGGAGGCAGATCACAGGTAGTTATAGCAAGTCAGTGGACATGTGAAATTAAGAGAAAGTTTCTTTAACAATTTGACTTGCTGCTACTTGGTGATTTTTCTCTACAGTACTGAACTCTGTCAAAATTATCTCTGCCTGACAGAATGATCTTTCCTCTGATTTTTTTTTTCTTTATTTTATTTGATTTTTGTATGTTTGCTTGTTTTTTGAGACACTAGAAAAGAAATAATACATACTTTAAAAATAACCAGAAATAACGTAAGCAGTTCTGACATTGAGAAAATTTAAACTGCCGGAAATTAATCCCCTTTCTTAGATGAACAGAAATTTTCAAAACTGCTGTCCAAAATCTCTTGGCTTTTTAATGAAAATTCTTGCACAGCATATAATTGAGTTTACTTTATGATTATTTCCTCATATCCTATAGGTTTGGTTCCAGAATCGAAGAGCAAAATGGAGGAAAAGAGAACGTTATGGTCAGATCCAGCAAGCTAAAAGCCATTTTGCTGCCACCTATGATATATCTGTTCTTCCAAGGACTGACAGCTACCCGCAGGTATTGTAAAGATCAAGCAATAATTTGGTTCTACTTTCACATTCTCTTCCATCCTTAGGCATACATGTACACAGAAGATGCACGATGTCTTCTCTGCGTTTAGCTTTCTGCATTCTTTAGAGACGTTGACAGGACCTACCACTGTGAACAACAGTTCCAACATCCCATACAAATAATTAACTCTTAATATATAATTGTTTTTAAAACAATAACCTTAGTTTTGCATAAGTTATGCACCAAGAATAGCTTGACAATATGTTTGTGCAGCTAAGTCTTTTCTGCAGATAAAATAATGTGGGATTTGGATCACTGTTAGTTTCATACACAAATTCTGGATGAAATCTAAGTCCATTGAGATTGGCAGGAATTATGTAAATTTTACTGAAATAAGGTCAGGATTTCCTTTCTGGGATATTTATCTATAATTAAGGTCACAAATACAACTGTCTTACCAATTCTGGTCTTGCATGCTTTGATAAGATGAAAAATATAGTACGGGATCTCTAGACAACTTCCTTTTGATATATTAAACATTCAGCATTTCTTGATGGACCTCAACAGAGCATTGAATACAAGGTTTCCACTAGCATGATACTATATTATGGCCACTTACAATCAGAAGTAAATGCATATGCCTGGGAGACAGAGGCAGAGAGACAAGAGAGCTCTCTCAGACAGTAGTAGTTTGATCTAATTTTATTTTTCTGTGTTCCTTTAGTATACAGTAAGGTATACTGTGTAATAAGATCATAATCTTCTGTCTCTGTTCTCCAGTCCTATGGTTTACTGCCTTGCCTCACTCTCTCCTATTGTTTTCTGCTTGCTTGTTTCAGTACATTGAGCATTTTTATTTTGAAGCCATTGTTTTCCATGTCTCTGGCTTCTCATTTCTTTTACCACACAATTAAAAAAAAACAACCCAAAACCAATCAAACAAACCAATAACAACAAAAACCCATCACCAACAAAAAAAAAAAAAAACAGAAACAAAAAACAACAAAAAAAGCACCATACAAAGCAAAAAATCTTGCTTGAGTCTCTGTGGCAGAGTCCTTCCACTGCTGGTACCTTGGTGGTCTTCTAGTTCATAAGATGGCAGGTTCTTTGCCAGTCTTAGCAATATACTAAAATACTCTGTGGGCTTGCTATGGTCATGCTCTGTATGCATTGGCTGAATGTAAGCAGCTTTGAACCAGAGGCCTTAGACTCAGGTGTCATCTACCAATTTTATAGTGCTTTACGTGGAAGGGATTGCACGTTACTAGGTTTGGTGCTTGGGCCAGAGCTGGTTTGTGTTCCAGCAGCTCAGGATGTGGGCACAGCCGTTTCAGATCTGATGGAACTTATGTCTGCTTGTTTTTATTTTATAATAAAGTTTAATATGTTATAATGTTTTATAATAAATTATTATAGATATTAAATATAAAATAGATATTATATTATTATAGGAGGATAGGTGACACAAGTAAATGCAGTATGAATCAACATATCACTTATATATAATATAATATATTTTATAATAAATAAAAGCCCATAGTGCAAAAACCCAAATTACATCAGAAACCAGGACATGATGTACTTTCTGTTTGAGTAGGAGGCTACAATATTTTTTTGAGACCTACCTCGATGGAGGTGTGCAAAAAAAGCCTAAGCACTCCCAGGCAGATTCACGAAGACATAGATACAAAGTCAATCACAGATCTCACTCATGGTATTCAAATATCTTTTGAAGGCCTTTCTGACTTATCTGTAGCATCACAACAGTTGATAAAAGGAATAGGACTAAAACTTCAGGATTTTTATCTCTGACTCAGCTCTCTAGGCTAAATTTGGTGTCTCCAAGCTGATCTTGTATTTTTGGTAGGACCTCATCTACAAATTTTCCCAGCTGACACAAGTTTCATTTGCTTAAGATAAAGGAATAATGCAAGTAATTGATAAACCCTAAAAATGGTTGTCCTAAAATTAATGCTTTTAAAAAATAAATACTTTTGAGCTATATGAGGATATAGTTAATTAAAACCTAACCTCCATGAAATAACTATTCTGAAATTTCAGATTGTTAAAAAGATGAAAGAATTCACTACATTTCTATTGTCAAATAGGTTTATGACACAACTAAGCGTCAACTTGGCAAAACTTTCTGTCATTAATTCATAAGTTCATAAAAGCAGGAGACTGAAATGAAAATGTTGGTGCCATCATCTTAAATAAAGCATCTCTAAAATGTGTAGAAACATCAAGAGTATACTTATTCATAAACATAGATATTTAGTACACATTTATGACCACAGACTAATACACTGTGGGTAAACAGACAGGTAAAAACATGTTGTTGACTCTGGTAACCTTCACAATAAAGTCGTGTTGTAATGTACATGAATAGGAGCAAGGAGCTAAATGGAGGTGTGCGCCCACTTTACACTGGCTATTTCATTTGAATGCTTGCATGTATAGTTTGACTACAGCATAAAAAATAGGGTATCTTACTTCTTAGTGAAGAAGGTGCCTGCTTTGCTGTACACTGGAATATTACCAGGCAATTATCACAGAGTAGTCAATGCAAGTTTATATTCTTTTTGACCTGGAGGTAATTCTTCATAATTTCGTATTGTTAAATCCTCACCTTCAGTAAAACCATGTGTGTATCATATACAGAACATTTCCTCTGAGATTGCTCAAGACAAGGAAAATCTGCATTAAAAATGAGATTACCCCTAACACAATCATATTTTAATCTTCTGTTATAGATATCTGTTTATAAGTGCCTCACTTAGGGAAAGTAACTACCCTGTACATTACTTGCTATAAACTCATTAATCAAGTTTACAGTTCAAGCAGAAAGAGATATTTAATACTGTGATATACATGTTTGGTATTAGCATTATAGATTGATTTCCCAGAACAACTCCATTATTTCAGTACACTTACTCTAAGAAGGGAAACAGCACTCTTTTTAAAATTTTTTTTTATTTCCCCTCTCCTCCTTTTTTTTTTTTTTAATATCTTTTTTACTGTATAGGACCTCTCTTATGGTGACACAGACATCCCTAAATATTAGACAGACTTTGCCATACTTTTGAGTAACTAGTTTTTCTTGCAGGCTGTGGAATAAAGATCACTAGAGTTTGTTTATGAAGCCTTTATTAGCATGGTGGAAAGCAGACACTCTGTTGGTGGTAAAAAATATAGGATGATGTTGAAAAAGGAAAAAATCAAGCTGAGATATTTACTGCTGTGCAGCAGAAGGAACAGGAAGAAATGCGAATTTCTGGTGTGAGTTATATGAGTTAGCAATTTGAAGATTTCTGTTTTGAGCCCCACCATGGATATGTTCCCAAAACAGACATCCCACTTGCATTCCAGAAGAAACGTCAGTCTCTTTTGCAGTCAACAGAGGGTGTGGAGACCTGTGCTTAGTCTCTTCATTACTTATCTTCATCAAGCGCAAATTAAGAACATGATGCTGCTATGCATTGTGTGACAGTATAAACCTGAAAGGTTTTGCTGTGAGTAAACGATCTTTTCAACTTATTTTAGGTAGAAGGATGGCTCTCATCACAGGATGGTTGAGGTTGGAAGGAACCTCTGGAGGTGGTTGGGACAACACTCATTTCTATAATGCAGTCTAATCTTGCTATTAAATGACACATCTTTATCTTCAACATAGTAGTGAGCAATTGAGGTGGTTTGTTTCTTTTTTCTAGACCATAATTGTTTGTTTTGCTAATTCATTTTAATTATATTTACAGTATGTTGTCTTTAAGTGTCACTTATTGTGCAAAAAAGTTGCTCAGTTGGCTGTCAAGAAGTATTTCCTAAATGGTCCAAATTCTGCACAAATAGATCTGTTCATTATACTGTCAACACCTGGATTCCAGAGGAGAAAAGTTAGTATGATAGACCAGGATAATAATTTGCTAGTCACATGTGTTTTTTCTAGCCTTTAACATTTTAAATACCACAGAATTGCTAAGTTTTCACTCAGATGAAATACCTAACTTTAAAAAATATTATGCTGAAAATCAGATACTTTTCTCTAGGAAAATATTATATACAGTACTTCTCATTCATATGCCATCTCATATAAACTATAGTATTACCTAAAAAGGTTGGGCCAGATGATTCTTTAGGTCCTTTCCAACCTGGCCTTCTATGACTCTGTGATATTAGTAAAAGGTTTCAGTTTTGTTCTTTTCAGTATTTAAGCATCAAGTTTCTCTTGCAGATACAATACATTGTGGTCTAAGTCATCTTAAGTACACTCAGAAAAAAATTCACTGGTTAAAACTCTTAGCCCAGATACTTAGAACCTTATTTGTCAGCAGTATTCTGCTGATAGTGTGAAAACTAAGCAGCAGCATCCTAACATGAGTGAGGAAAGGAGTGCAGATTCACTTCATGGAGGTGTTTATTCCAACTCACCTAACTAAATGTTAGTGAACAAGCAGTATTTGGTTCTGTCACTGAACTACAGTTCTATTCAAGATGTCTAGGGATATCTCAGGCACTGTTACATTACTGACGAACAGGACTTAGAAGAAGGATACACTTTTGAAGGGATGCAACTGATGGTTATATAGATATTAGACATTTGTTTCTAGGAAACTTAATCTAAGAAACTTCTATGGCAGATGGGTTCCCTTTTAAGTTGATGAAAATCTGGTCAATAAAGTTTACTCTTTCTAAAGAATAAGGTGTGAAATAGGTAAGATGATCTCTAAAGGTGTACTTTTCTCTCTGATGCATGATTCAGCTGCAGACATCTATATTTTTCTTAGATGGATCTACATATTTTGTACTGGGAAAGGAACAATAAAAAGGTTTCTTAGCCTTGATCTTCTCTTTTCTTATTGATCTTCACTTGACTGTTTTTGTTCTCCTATGTCTAGTGAAAGGGATATTGTTACAAAGGGTACTTGACCTTGTCAGATTTAAAGTTTCAATATAAGTACCAAGAAGTACCAAAGTACCAAAAAAACTGAGGGATTACTTTTTAA